AAATCCTGTTCAACTTTCTTGCACTGTTCAGACTGAGCTGAAGTAGTAACCCTTCACAACCTTATAGTATCATGCCAAGTTTTCAGAATAGCAGGTGTCTGTTTCTCTTTTTCTCTTCCACAAAAAGTGTGAAAGTATCAATTACCAAATAAGTTATCTGGTAAGTATCTCATTGCCCTCTTTCTCCTTGAAATTAATCCAAGAAAATAACCTATCAACAAGAAGTCCTGTCTCATTATTTTCAGTAATGGCGTTAGTGATAGCAACAATCTATAGGTTTGCAATTTAAAAAATACTTAAAATAATATATTATCTCATGCAATGACAAATTGAAGGCATTAAAAGGAAATATTACAGGCAACTGTCTCAAACATCAAAAACCAAACCCAGATTAACTGGGTTAAAAAAAAGTATTCTTGGAGCTGGGGATTTAGCTCAGCAGCATAAGCACCTGCCTTGCAAGCAGGCGGTCGTGAGTTCGATCCCTGGTACTGATAAAAAAAAAAGTTAAAAAAAAAAAAGAAAGTATTCTCAATTCTACCTAAGAGTCAAAAAGTTTTGGGGCTTTGTTTTTTTGTCTGTTTTTTGAGACAGGTTCTCACTAGGCAATCCAGGCTGGTTTCAAACTCAAGCAATCCTCTTGCCTTACCTTACCAAATGCTGGGATTATAGGCATGTACCACCCACCTGGCAAAAAGTTCTTTTTATTAAAAAATATATGTATATTTGAGTGGCATTAGGTGTAAACCAAAGTCACAAATTATTCCTTAAAGGACTGTATATCCAGGGGCTGGGGATTTAGCTCAGCGGCATAAGTACCTGCCTTGCAAGCAGGCGGTCGTGAGTTCGATCCCTGGTACCGATAAAAATGAAAATGAAAAAGACAAAAAAAAAAAAAAAAAAAAAAAAAAAAAAAAAAAAAGGACTGTATATCCTTAAATGATACACCTACCTGAACATCTATAAATGCTAAGACATACTCTCAATAAGAATTTTTTTTTTTTTTTTGTCTTTTTCGTTTTTATCGGTACCAGGGATCGAACACACGACTGCCTGCTTGCAAGGCAGGTGCTTATGCTGCTAAACTAAATCCCCAGCCTCTTCTCAATAAGAATTTGATATAAATTTTTATTAACCCAATTCCTTTCTCAAATGCTCTACTCATGTTTCAATGCTTAGTAAATACTCTTTTAAAGAAGGAATATTTAACAATGAGGAAGCTGTCCTGAAAACTGACAATTTTCATCAGTTATTCAGGTACCTTTTTAATGTTGGGGATTTAGCTCAGTGGCTCAAGCACTTGCCTGGAAAGCACAAGGTCATGATTTCAATCCCCAGTACCAAAAAAAAAAAAGCAAATATTTATATTTACTGCATACCTGTCAACTACCATACATGATCTATAGGTTAGACATATCCATGTAAGTCACCTCATTAATCTTATGAGCCATACCCAGATACTCCTCAGTCTCCAATACTAAAATGACTAGATCCCGAATACCAAAAAGTTATAATACAAGTTTGATCCCACCTGAATAATCTTTTAAAACTCAACTGGAACTCAATTCTTATCGGAACTATGCTCCTAGCGCTCAGTCTTAAGTATTTGTTAATGCTTTCTACTAGGTAATACTCATAAGAAACTCTTACCTGGGTTTAGAGGTGCACACCTATAACCCTACTTCCAAAGTGGCTGAGGCAGGAGTATCTCAAATTTGAGTCCTGCTTGGGCCATTTAGCAAGAACTTGTCTCAAAAAATAAAACAGCTGAGGATGTAGTCCAGTGGTAGAGTGCCCCTGGGTTTGAGCTCTAGTGCTGGGAGAAAGCAAGGGAGAAAGAAGAAAAGGGAGGGCAACCTTGTACCTGTTTTTAAACTGCTTACTCCAGAATAAACACAGATATGATGATCATCATAGATATGGTACATGATGGTAATAGTCATACTCCGCAACAGCAACTCTCTTTGATAAACAAACTAAATAATAAACTTAAAAAGCTAACAAACTGATTTCAGGTAAACAGGAAACCCTGGATTCTGATATTCTTCCCAATCTGAAAGTTCTTTTCTAGAATTCCAAATACAGAAAGCATTTTCTATCCAAACAAACTGTAGAAGGCAAATGTCAGCAGTCACAACAAAGCAGAGAACTGGGGAAAGGAAAAATAATATTCCAACTAGTATAACCATATTATAGAGTTGACAACAGATTGTTCACCTTTGTGACACAGGAAAGGACTTGCAAGTGAACAAGGAACTTTCAGGAAGCTAAGGGAAGAAATAAAGCTTTCCTGATTCTCAAGACACAAACACATCCCAAGACACAAACACAAATGTCAAAGCTATGATTAGGTAAACAGGGAGTGGAGAGAAAGCAGAAGGAAGAAAAGCATAATCAGGCAGGTGCGTTTGACAAATCAAGACAGGTTTCTTTCTTGGATTCATAAAAAAAAAAAAATCTTTAACAAAGACAATACTCTAGAGGCTGGGCATGATGGTGCACATCTATAATCCCAGCACTCTGGAGGCTGAGGCAGGAGAATCACCCTGCAGTGAGACCAACCTGGGCTTCAGAATGAGTTCAAGGCCAGCCTGAACTACACAGCAAGACCCTGTCAAAAAAAAAAAAAAAAAGAACATGCAATAGATGCAAATAATAGAACAGTTAACTAACAATGGTTGTAGACATTCCTTTTGCAATCTATCAGTGCTATATTTAAATCCCAGCTTATTTGCTTCTAACCTTGAGAACATCTCTGTGCCTTAGCAGCAACCTCATCTGACTATTTACCTATGGTATCTTTAGCACCTTAACCAGTACTTCAATCACAGTAATGAACAGCGGATAAGTGACCATAACAGTACCTATATTATGGAACTGGTATGAGTATAAAATGAGATGCCATAAAAAGTATCTAGTATAAGGGTCGGGGATTTAGCTCAGAGGCACAAGCACCTGCCTGGCATGTGTGAGCTTGTGAGTTCAATCCCCAGTACCAAAAAAAAAAAACAAAGTATCTAGTATAATTCAGGGTAAGTTCTCACTACTAAACAGTAAAGTTTTCTTCCCTTTACTCCTCAGCCAGGTGAGAAGTTATGATAGAAGAGCCAAGGCAGAGATGGGATGAGGCCAAGAGGTACACAGCTCAGCGGTGCAGAGTCTGCCTGTCAAGCACAAGGTCTTGGAGTTCAATTCCCAGTATTAAAAAAAAAAGGAGAGGGGCTGAGGATTTAGCTCAGCGGCATAAGCTCCTGCCTTGCAAGCACACAGTCGTGAGTTCAATCCCTGGTACGGATAAAAAAAAAAAGGTGGGATGAAGACTGCAGAAGCTAAGCACTAGAAGATGTTTATTGCTAGGGTCCTAGTCACAAAACCCAGCAATATTTAGTCTTGGCAGATGAAATTAAAAACAATGCCAGGCCCTTATAGTAGGAACATAAGAAATGTTAGCTTATTCAGAAAATGCTCTTTTGAATCTTCAGGAATGTTACTACAGAGAAACAAAACTGGCCTAACTACGTATTTAACAGCCAAATACAAAAGATTTTTAGACAGATACTTAACCCTCTAAAAATCTGCTACTAGAAAAAATATTCAATTGGGTCACACTACCATATTTAGTCTTCTTTTGAGATAATAAAATCTGGCTAAGCAAATTATTCTTAACTACAGACAGGGTAAATAATAAGCCTGGCAGTCCAAAACTCTAACTCCTCTTACTCCAAGAGACTAATGATCCAAAAATACTGACAGCTTTTCCTGTTACTCCAAGAAACCTATCTACTCACAAGAGGGAAACTATTTCACCCTCAAAATCAGGAGTCAAAAGAGAATATATATTTAAGCCCAAAACAGCAAAGAATTCTTTTTTTCCTTGAATATAAAAAACTGAATCAGGGGTAGGGATTTAGCTCAGTGGCCTAAGTGCCTGCCTTGCAAGTGCACAGTTGTGAGTTCAATTCCTGGTACCAAAAAAAAAAAAAAAACCTGAATCTCAGAAGAAGACAGCGTTAAGGAACCCAGGCCACTGTTACTTTATAAGCATGACAGAGACAAAAATACAAACTTAATGTGTAAACATAAGGAAAACCTGGCCCGAACTGAAACAGCTTGTGGTTAAATCTCACTATACTGTGGTCTTTAACTTCCCATTTTAATTTCACTGGCATCTGCTCTGTTTTTAACCACTCACACTGCCTCCCAAGTAATATGATTTAGTTAAAAAAAAAAACACTGACAGCCAAAAGAATAGACACTATACCAAGTTCTATTATTTACTAAGCATGAGAATATAAATTCTTCATGTAAACTCTGAATTCAGTATTACTGACAAGGTTGTATTAAATTTACATTTACCAAAGGTTTCCATCAAAGTATTCTTGTGGAAAGATATATCACAATTCAATCAAACCCAGTACCCCTACTGGGATAAACCATTTGAAAACATATACAGTGTTCTTGTCTCTTTCCCACAGTTACCAAATTCTATTTATTTCCCTTCAAATCATATGACTCTCATTAAGGAAAAATTTTACTCATGCCCCCCCAAACTTGTATATAATTCTATGTAACTTTACTCTTCACTTGTTATTTAGTACATAGCTTTCTATTACTGTTTATCCTCTTATACAAACACTATTTGCAGGAAAGAGGTACGTAATGCTCACAACTAATTATTTATTAAGTACCTGATTACTTACAACTCTATACCTGAGGCCTAAATTTTCCAAGAGCCAATAAAATGTTCATTGCTGATGGTAAGTACTATCTTGGATAGGTCGTTGAAGTTCTCTCCCAGAAAACAGTAACAGTATGTAAATTTCCTTTCAGTTCTAAAATGCTATAGCTACAAGCCTATGTGTTTCTCACATTTCTTTCATTCTATGTATATGTAACATTTCTTTCATTCATGTATATGTAACTATGTCCTATTTAACCCAGAATGTTAATTAGAAAAAGAAAACTCCTATTGTAAGGTTAGTTTATTCACTAGGTAATACCTTCTTGGCATCTTAGTGCATCTTGCCCAAATTTGAACACACAGCAGTAGAAAGGAATTTATAGTCTCAGCCAAACAGCAAACATCAAGGGAAATTGTGCAAATCTTAATTCTCATGATGAACTGTTTCCAAAAAAAATTACAAAAATGATGTGAGAGAAAAAAAAATTTAGTGTTAAAATGAGATGTTAAAATGTGATTTAGTGTTAAAATGATGATACTGCCAAGGATTTAGCTCAGTGGCATAGCATCTGTCCGGCAACACAAGGTCCTGAATTCGATTCCCCTACAGAAAAAAAAGAGAAGATTTGTGTCAAAGAGCCAGAAATTTATTTTAGGCAACCAAGAAGCTAGGATATAGCAACTGTTTTTTGTTTTTTGTTTGAGATAGGGTCTCACTATGCCGTTCAGACTGGATTTGGGCTCACACTGTAAGCCAGGCTGGTCTTGAATTCACAATGACCTCCTGCCTCAGCTTCCCGAGTGCTGGGACTATAGGCCTGTGCCACCACACCCAGCCTGGATGTAGCGACTCTTTTTTTTTTTTTTCCCCTTTTTACCAGGGATCGAACTCAGACTGCCTGCTTGCAAGGCAGGCACTTATGCCACTGAGCTAAATCCCCAGCCCGAAATGTAGCAACTCTTAAGACTAACTCTCAAATGTTATTTTCAGAGTTCTGAGAAGTATGGGAGTCTCTATCCCTACTCATTAAACAACAAGGACAACAGAGACCAAGTATTCTTCATGTCAAATAATCTTGGGGCTTTTGTTGTTGTTTTGCAACAGTGTCTCATTATGTAGTCTTGGCTGGTTTTAAACTCACTATGTAGTCCAGGCTGGTCTCAAACTTGCAGTGATCCTCCTGCCTTAGCCTCCCCAGTGGTGGGATAAAAAGGTATGCACCTCTATGCCCAGCTCATTTTTAAGAAATAAATGGTTTTACTGACATGTAAGCTTTCAGTTCAAAAGCAAATGTTCACAAAGGAGCATATGAGAGCAGGTAAGTTTTAAAAATAGATGAAAACTTGCTGTCTAAAATACAGACTGCCAAAAAAAGGGTACACACACTTCAGCAGTTTGTCATACTAGGAAATGTCTTGAAGTTAATGGCCAACACTTTGAGGCCAAAGGTAACTTGTATTAATCTCATGATGTCTCAATAAATTTACGATTAAAGTACTTACACAAGTTTTTCTTTTCCTAATGTATATATCTCTTGGCAGACTCTACATTTGTGTTAGCAGAACTATACTTTGCTGTTGTCTTGCCTCAATTCCTTATACTGGACTACTTTAATGTTAACATGAGATTTTTGTTGTTTGTATTGCTAGGGAATCAAACTTAGGGCTTCGTGCATGCTATGCAAGCAGCCTACAACGTATCTGCATCCCAATACTCAGTATTAATACTAAAGCCTTGGGGAGAAATCCTTCTCCTACAAATTGTGGTGCTGTACATCTGTAATCCAAGCACTCTTGAAGGAAGAGAATGGCAAGTTCAGGACCAGCCTGGGGAAATTTGCCCTTTAGTGAGATGTTTCAAATTAAAGAAGGGACTGAGGATGTAGATCAGTGCGAAGTCCTTGGGTTCAATCTCTGGTACAGCAAAATCAAGAAAAAAAAATCTGTCTTTTTTTGATATGTATTTGGTTTAAATACACAAAATTACCAATATTTAGCCAGGGGTTTAGCTCAGTGGCATAAGTGTCTGCCTGGCAAGCATAGTTGTGAGTTCGATCCCTGGCACCAAAAAAAAAAAAAAAAAAACCAGTATTTGACTACTTTTTACCTGCAAAATGTTAATCGCGTAAATCACCTTAATTTCTACTTGGGGGTGAAGATAGTTACTATATGAAGACAAACAATGTTATATGGATACTAGACACTAAGAATTACAGGTTTCAAAATACACTTTATGGGAGCTGGGGATTTAGCTCAGTGGCATAAATTCCTGCCTTGCAAGCAGGCAGTCATGAGTTTGATCCCTGGTACCGATAAAAACGAAAAAAGACCAAAAAAAAAAAAAAAATACACTTTATATACTTTCGAAGTTTGAAAACATGCTTTTGAAGCTTTTGAAACCACCTAGCTCGTGTGTGTGTGCGTGTGTGTGCGCGTGTGAATATATGTATCAGGCTTTCTTCTTAGGGCTTAAAGAATTCCGGTCTTCAGCAGTATTTAGTAAGTGAACAACAGACAAGCTGGGGGCTTTTTGTTTTGTGTTTTTTAACACTCATCTCCAAGGAAAATGTCAAGATCTTGATGACAAAAGCAGAATTAGATAGCTAGTGAAATGAATCTAGCCACAGGAGCACATTGCCTCCAAAGCCACCAGGATCAATTCCCCACTGGGAAGATATCACCTCTCAATTCCCACTTCATTTTCCAAGAAATTTGCTGTCACCCCTGCTCTCACCATTTATGTGCAATTTATATAATTTTGCCATGTCGAATGTTTCTTTGTAAGCTTTACTATAGGTGCTACCTCAATATTTAAATTAACAGCTCACCAATGCAAAGGATAGTCTTTTTTATTCATTAACCAAACCACTTAGTAGTGTCTAAATGTCTCTAATGTGCCAATTATTGTAGCAAGCCCCACAGGGATACAAAGATAAAAGCCACTACAGTACTTATCTATTTTCAAGGAGCTTAACAGTGTGGTTAGAAGAGGCATGCCAACTACACAAAGAAGCCAAAATATCATACTATACAAATACCACATAAGTAACCAAAAAATTATAGTATTCAGCAGTGGTAAAGATCACTTCCTGTTGGAGGAAAAAAAAATCAGCAAAGGTTTCATGGAAGAGATAGTCTACATTGAAAGAATGCGGGGCTGGGGATTTAGCTCAACGGCATAAGCGCCTGCCTTGCAAGCAGGCGGTCGTGAGTTCGATCCCTGGTACCGATAAAAAAAAACAAAAACAAAAACAAAAAAAAAGACCCAAAAAAAAAAAAAAAAAAAAAAAAAAAAAAAAAAAAGAAAGAATGCATAGAAATATTTTTAAAAGAACAAGTGGGTAGTTAGGAAATGAGTATGCAGATTAGGTGGCTTCCATGGTGGCACACTCAGCACTCAAGAAACTGAAGCAAGAGCACTGCAAGTTCAAGGCCAATCTGAACTATGTGTAAAAACATGAAATGGAATGATGCTATCAATTCAAGCCAGTAGCAATTTCCTAAGAAATCAGGAAGAAAGCAAGCAGGGTGGAACCTGTAACATTTTATATTTTAAAGAAAACGAGAACAAAAATAAATATGACAGAATGTTAATGTCCATTAAATCCAGAGGTTTGGAACATAGAAAACTCTGGCAGTTTTGTGTTTTACTTCAGGATATACACTTAAGTCACTATTTAAGTCTGGAATGGTATTTATCTTTTGGTCCTTTTAACTATTCTTGCTCATAAGAGATATAGAATACTACGACCGAACTGTAGACTATAGCTGAACTTTCCTTCATTACGAAAAGTAACATTTACCAAATACCACTGATAAAAGGAAAATACCATTCCTACAAATGAAAACAGAGTCAACATTTTTCAATATATTTTACAGATTGCAATGTTAAGATAACTTTCTTTACAAAATGAAAATAGGTGTCAATTTATATATATATATATATGTATGTATGTATGTATATATATATATATATATATATATATATATATATGTATGTATATATACTGCTTATCTGGGTGCCTGTATTTAAAGAGCGTGCCATGGGGCTGGGGATTTAGCTCAGCGGCATAAGCACCTGCCTTGCAAGCAGGCAGTAGTGAGTCTGATCCCCGGTACCGATAAAAAGGAAAAAGACCAAAAAAAAAAAAAAAAAAAAAAGAGCTTGCCATTATTTGAACATTTTATTTTCTTACAGGAAAAAATCCAATAAGACTGAATTGTGTACACAAAATTATGTGTTTTTTTCTCCTAAAACTTACTGTTTGAAATAATCTCATTATTCAAAATAAAAATTCAGAAGATCAGATACCTGGAAGAATAAAGAAGCCACTAAAACAAAAAGAACAGCTGGGAACAAGATGCACTAAGAAATCAGGAAGAAAGCAAGCAGGGTGGAACCTGCTTCAGAGAAACACTTATTACTTGTTCAGTTGGAGACTGAAGGGAAGCATCACATCTCTCACAAGGCATGCACAAGAGGCACTTGCACCAGGGTGGGGTGTGGGCTGAAAACACTGGACAAGAAGGAAGTTTTTATTGCCATCCCAAATCAGATAGCTGAGAGGAGTGAGAACCACCTTCCCACATTACTTAAATGCCAGTATAACCAAGTCATCTCCCCCAAAACAAAGCCAAGGGAACTGCCAGCTATATAGGAATTCAATCAAAGACTCCCTATGAGTAACTCTTCTACGCCTCCTCTCTCCCCTCCTTTCTCCCAAACACTCACAAACAAAAACAAAATGTACCCTTGCCCACTTGAGAAAGAATTAAGAATTGGCAACTCCACTAAAGTGGACAACTTCCAAACCAAAGCCCTTCTATAAGGATGATGTTAACAAACTTTGGCAAAGAATAAATTTGAGGAAGACCTGCAATGGAAGGCATCCATTATTTGTTCTGCTTTGTTTTGCTTTGCGTTGTTTTGTTTTGTTTTGAGTCATCCTTGAACTCATTCAGTGATCATCCTGCCTCATCTTCCTTCCTGCTTTAGCCTCCGAAAGTGCTGGGATTACAGGTGTGTGCCAACACACCTAGTAGAACGCATCCATTCTTCCACCCCCCTTGAGCCCCAACTTTCCTCAGAAAAGTGTAGGAGTTTCTAAAAAGTACTCTATTCTGTTCTCCCTCAAAAATGACTAGAATACAAAATCCAAACTCTCACTTTAAAACCATGTAATTTGTCTTCACAAAAATCCAATGAAATTAAAAACACAGGGAAAAAACATTCTGGACAGACAGAGAGGAAAAAGAAAGTAAAAAGAATTAAGATGTGCTACATATATACACCAACTCCCCATGATGAACGTAAACATGTACTGGCAAAAACGTAAAAGATTTTAAAAAGGTTTAGAATCCAAGTATAAGACAAATCTTATTTTTATTTTGTGAACATAGTGCCCAATTTATTATAATCTGTTTCTTTTAACAAGTTTTTGACACAAAACTACATTTAAAATAAAGCTACTTGATGGAAATTTGGCAAAAGAGATAAACTTATCAAAGGCTGGGGATTTAGCTCAGTAGTGTGCCTGCCTGGCAAGCGCGAGGTCATGAGTTCAATCCCTGGTACCAAAAAAAAAAAAAAAAAGAGAGAGAGAG